GAAATACACTCATTCAATATCTCGTCATATTAACAATGCGGATAACACCGTTCCATTCTAAATGGGAATGACATGTATTAATAATGTTTTAATTAAAGATACCAAACTTTAATTAACTTCATTACGAACATCTCTTTTTGATTATTATCCTTAAACATTATCCTCTCGCACATAACACTTATATACAACATTTAAGGTCACATAGATAATTATGGAACTTTCATTGATATTCATAAAATATTCACAAATATATACAGATAAAATGATGAATAAACCATTTTATTAAATAAATAATAAATGTCATATCACATCTCATGCTTCTTAGACACCATTCCCAACAATCTCCCACTTGTCCTAAAGCAAGTAGAATATGTCTCCAATCCTGAAACTTTCTAGGTGTCCATGACTGATCTATGCCTAGAACAACTTCCAGATCAGTTAAGAATTTCTGGAGTGAGGTTGTTTTCTTTTGCTGCTTCACAAGCTGTAACACATTAACTCTTAATAATATAATTAGCAATCACACTTTGCCAACAACCTTTCATATCACGACTCCTTCACCTAGTGTGAACACAGATTTAGATGTCGACTCTCGAAATCCATGCAAGACTCACAGTCAAAGTCTGTGTATCCAGCTAAAAGACAACCCTTTCACTGACTAAATTATCTTGTAGTTTCTTGCTTTCCTCATACACTTAACGATACACTACAATGTTACCTAATGATCGAATCTTAAGTTCAACTGACAACGATTGACCAGTCTCACTGAATATCATATATTCGGGTTTGCAAAGAACAAGAACATCTTTTTTTCTTTTGTTCGATACATCTTTCTTTTGATCAAATCCATAAGACTTAATAGCCTTATCAAACCTGATGTTACATCTTACTAACATGTATTAATAATGTTTTAATTAAAGATACCGAACTTTAATTAACTTCATTATGAACATCTCTTTTTTATTATTATCCTTAAATATTATCCTCTCGCATATAACACTTATATACAATGTTTAAGGTCACTTAAATAATCATGGAATTTTCATTGATATTCATAAAATATTCACAAATATATACACATAAAATGATGAATAAACCATTTTATTAAATAAATAATAAATATCATATCACATCTCATGCTTCTAGGACACTATTCACAACATTTACAACCAATTAAAATTCTTAAAATACCCTCATCTTCTTGTCCTCGTATCATTTCTCACAATTAGTACCTTTTGCCGAAACCTTCACTGGAACTGTCATTAGAGTTATAGTCATCGTCAGATCATTTACAGTAAATTTTTCATTTACATGGTAAATTTTTCATTTACCAAGAATACATAAAATGTTTGGATGGTAAATAAAACATTTACCACATAAATTAATCATTTACCATCGATGGTCAGAAAACCCATAACTTCAAAATGCAATTACTTCGTCGTTTGACCTCCGATTGTCTTGATTCTTGTTCCTATGCACTCTGGTGTTGAGATAAACAAGGCCATACCACAATTGAAGCTGAAGGATTGCCTTCAAAGTGAAATGTTAATCTATTAAATGCATCTATCCATTCCTGGCTTGCTGGCGAAATTGTATCTTATAAACGTTGATCGACACTATCACAATCCTAAATGCACACCAAAGCTTCAACAATGTCCCTTTTCAATGTGTTTCAGTGTTCCTCAAGTATTCATCCGGACGTAATGAAGGCTTGTTCGGATGAAACAGTAGAGACTGGGATCAAAAAAATATCCATTGCCAATCGAGTTAGGACTGGCCAAGTTAATGCTCGTGCCCTCCACCATTGAACTAAATCAAACAATTTTCCACTATTGTCGACTACTAAGCTCTCGCTGAAATACGTCATAAGCTCGTTGAAGCCGCCGCCGCCTCTTGATGAAGATTCACTCCCAACTTCTGTTTGAGTCGTCTTTTTCTTCTTCTTCAACCCGAAAACATTCATGAATGAATGTGGGTTTTCATCTCTTTGGTGTTGTTCATGTACTCCACAAAAGCGGTGTTTCTAAACCTATTCTCATAAACACTATAGAGAGAAAATATTTTTTCCTTTATTTTAGGAAATTGGTCAGAACAATCGATGTCTAAAAATTCACCTAAGTTTTCTAAATCACTTTCTAAACCTTCTAATTTTAATCTAGGATCAAAAATAGTACCGAAACCATACAACATTGGTAATTTAGACTAATATTTTTTAAATTTCTTTTCCATAAAAGTGATAGGAACTTCTAAAATTAGGTCATTCCTAAATTCACTAAATAAAATACTAATTTGTAAAAGTTCACCTAAAGCTAAAGGTGATGTTGGGTAATATGTTCCACTAAGTTTTAAAATAACTTTATGAAAACTACCTAAAAATTGATACAAAGTTTCGACATTTTGCCAATCATATGCGTCTGTATGTCCTGCTCCTAATTTTGTACTAATATAATTTATTATAGCATCTTATAAGGGATGCATTGTTGAAGCATTATATAAGTTGAATTTCATCTTACAGGTATATATAGGGCTATTGCTCTAGGAGTTAGATTTAGTGCTTGTAAGCACCTAAACCAATCTTGTACGTGTGGGTTAATACCTTGAATTCATGCAATGCTATCTCTAATTACTTTTATATGAATAGACATTGATTTTAAACCGGATTAAACTATTAAATTAATTACATAGCATGCATAACGTTGGTGAAAAATAGTATCATCACCGAATAAACTTAAATCATTTTTGAAATATTCAATTGTTTTAGTATTTGCACTAGTATTATCTAATGTTATAGCAATCACTTTATCTCTTAATCTATATTCATCAATTACATTTAAATTATATTATATATTAAATCGGTGCTATGTGATCATAGAACACATTTAAAACTTAATATTCTTTTATCTAAATTGAAGCCTTTAAAGTAATGTCCGGTTACATATAAATATCTTTGTTGGCAACAGGAGACTAATTGTCTGCCGTTAATGCAACACAATCACTAGTAGAGCGTAAAAAGTTTATTAATGCTTCTTTTTATTGTTTAAATAATTTTAACAAATATTTCCTAAGAGTAGTTTTTGAAAAAAAACTGTGCATTAGGATTGTGTACAACTTTAATATATCGGTGCCAATTAGGATGCTCTACAAAACTAAATGGGTGATCTAATGCAGCTATCATTCACACAACTTCCATACGATCTACTTGTGGATCGTATTTCCAAGTGGTTAGACCACCGGTTGCGCGATCAAAAGATAATTGCGTTTGGCGGAGTTCGACTCAGCCGGTTTGGCCATGCTTTCAAAGACACTTTTCAGAGTGTCTTCTCAAGTGTGTTGTGTCAAGAATAGTGTCACCTTGTAATTTAGAATAACAATATTTACATTGAGCTATGTGTTTAGTGTTACCGTCATTGTCGACCTCCTCAATTGTGTCGAAGTGATACCAAACTGTCGAGGTGCGCTTGCATTTTCTCTTAAAGGTTGCAACACTTGCAGTAGCACTTGCCTTTCCTCCACACCCACCACCATTGAGACCACGAGCTCCACTACGTCCACCATGGCTCGGATTTACAGGTTCCTCAGTTGCTTGTGTTTGTGATTCCTGCGTAATAAATTCATTAGTAGCAAATTGCCCTTCTTTCACGCTCCATTGGGCATCAACAAGAATATCACCATAACTAAAAGAATCAATTATAGTAAAAATAAGAGCGATTTGAGAGAGATAGCTTTAGGATATTGTGTAAGTTTTTAGAAAAATTATGAGAGAGATTTGAGAGATTGTGAGAGTTTGGATGAGGAAAATGTTTGGGGGATGGAGGTATTTATAGGGAAATTTTTTGGTTAAAAATTGATTTTTTCCCCTAAATTTGGATCCAACGGCTATTTCTTCGGCAGGTCGGGTTCGGGCTGAAATCGGGCAACGGTAAAAAAAAAGAGCCGTTGGTGGTCGGGCTTTCGAGCAGTGGTTCGGGTCGGGCGCCAACGTTAAAAAAACTAGCCGTTTGTCAGGCTGGAATTCGGGCCTAAGGGAAAAAAATTCGGCGGTCGATGGTCGGGAGCTTTCGTTCGGCGGCAAACTTCCGCGATATAGGTTTTTCTTAGGCAACCCGAGTCCGAGAAATTGCTTGAACAGACGGCCTTAGGTGCCTGCACGCTAAGCCTAAAAAATTTGAGTTTCGGGCAGGCTCGCCAGTCCAAAGTTCCAGCACTGGTTCTGAGTGTCTATGGATCAATATAATTATTTTTATGACTAAATAAGAGTAAAAACATCATTTACTATCACGCACCCAACTATCTTCTTGTATGATAAGGAAGAAAATATCATTTTTAGGTCCTAAATGTAGCTTGGATCGTTATCAAACTATAATTTTCCGTTAGGTTTGACTAATTGAGGAGTATCCGTGTAATTTAAAAAAAAAAATTAAAAAAAAAACCTTGAGAGTTGTTGATGTACATGTTTCAGTTAAGTAGGTGTCGTTGTATTTCAAGGAAACTACAGTGACAATGAAAACCCAATAACTTAAAACTAAAAACAAAAACAAACAAAAACCTTAAGCAAAGCATCAGATCTAAAGAAAAGGAAGGGAAGGAGAAGGAACGCCGCCCGCACAGATTCCATCACATCACCGCCGCATGGGGTGAATCTCCTTGAGTCACCTCGCTTCGAGTCGGGGATTAAAGTATGACATGATTGGGAATTATTATCCTTGTTTCAAAACAAATTCTAAGTATACTAAAAGATTTTCACTGAATTATTTTTACACATTTTTTGTAACAAGGGCTTGTGTGGAACTGGGCATGTATGTGCGTTGTATCTGTTGTACTTGTCAGCGTTGTAATTCCAGTAGTTGGAGGCTGTGTAATAGTATTTGTATTGCCCTTTCATTCTTTGAATTTAATTTTCCCTTTTTTAAGAAAAATAATGGAGGCGTTAAGCATGTATAAAAATCAATGATTCTCTAACGAATGTATTCTGCTTAATAGGGAGAGAAAAAAAAAAAACAAATCCCAAAAACATATCACAACTTATGTAAATACTGAAAAAAAGCTCATATGTTTATCACAACAAATCCCACATTCTTTTCATGCAGGCCAAAATTATTAGCTAAAAAAAAAAATAAATAAACCAACTTCTGTTACAAGATGTTTTGAGTGCCAACAAGCCATGAAGTGCTTAGAGCTTTAGTAGGTGTATCCCTTGACAAACATTCCTTTTTTGGCTTCTTCGTTTTCTCCTTCAGCCGAATACTTCCCAAGCTGTGCCATCGAATTTGCCTTTGCTCTAACCAGCAACGCCTTTTGTGCAGCGTCCACATTCTCGGGACGTCCTTGCCATGTTTTGAGGACACTGTTCTGCAAGGCTCGAGCATAAGAAAACGAGACATGCCATGGGTTAGGGCTTTGGTTCATGGCATTCAGATTCAAGGTGGCTTCCGCTTCAGATTGGCCTCCGGATAAAAACTGCAGAAACAAGAAATATAATTGGAAACAATTAGTTATGCATTAAGGATTCACTAAACACAAGAATCAAAGGCAGCTATACAAAAATCATGCAGAGTTTCAAGTCAATAACTAACTATGAAGTACAAAAAGAAAGATAATAATTGCTCACTTAAACTATTGGAGGTAGGACAAGGCTTACCATAATTCCTGGAACCGCAGGAGGAACTCTCCTTCTGAGCATTGTGAGTGTGTATTTGGCAATGGTCTCTGGAGAAGCCTTCTCCTTGTGCTCAGCCCCTGGGGTTACCATGCTCGGCTTGAGAAGAATTCCTTCAAATGTCACATTGTTTTGGGCCAAGTAGAAGAAGACTTCAGCCCAAACCTTCTCAGCAACTTCAAGGGTTCTCTCTATTGGGTGGTCCCCGTCAAGAAGAATCTCAGGCTCCACAATGGGCACAAGGCCATTGTCCTGTATGATGAAAAAGACGCAAAATTATATCAATAAATTCTAGCGTCTTTATCAAACTACCAGCAACGGCCAAAAGCACAAATTTTCAAGTGAAGCTGGTATGTTAAATAACCAACAAAAGATCAAGATCGGTTTGATAAGTAATGGCTAACTAAACAAAGATATGCTTGTTCTGACTCAAAATATTACTAGCATCTTGCATCACTTCTAAAGCATAGATCAAGACTTCCTATTGGAAAATAATGATAACAATAATGAACTACTGCAGATAAATTCTAGTGTCTTTATCAAACTAAATGTAACGACAAATAACACATCTTTTCACGAAAAGCTGAGAATAACCAGCAAAAGTTCAAGATTGATTTGACAATTAATGGCCGAAGAAACGATTTTTTTTTTTTTTTCAGAAGTAAAGGTAAATGCAAATATTAATAGCATCTTGCAGCACTACTAAGCATTGATCATGACTTCCCAATGGAAATCACGAAAAAAAAAAAAAAAAAAAGGACTTCATATTTGAAGTCACGGGCCCTGATAATAAAACACAAGTCAATCAAATATGTTTTCAAACTATGGCTTCTTGCCACAAGAAAAACAAACACAATTCAGCTTCCCCCTCTACTCACGGCCTTGTTCCTCAGTAAATATCATTTACCCAAATTCAAAAAACCTTGCTTTTTTTTTTTAGATAAATATTAATCATACAATTTATACCTGAGAAATAGCGGCATAACGGGCAAGTCCCCAAGCAGCTTCCTTAACAGCTAGAGCAGAAGGACCATTTGGAATGCTCACAACTGTTCGCCTGAAACAAGAAAAACACCAAGGTATAAGCTTCTTTGCTGCTGCTTAGAATTTATCGACTGACATAATACCTAACAAAACCAAAGTTTACATAAAGAATACATTAAACTTACTCACCATTTAGCAAACCGGGCACCTTGCTTGTAGTATTCAGCAGATCTTGAAGCCAATCCATCTAAGCCTTGGCACCAAGATTCGTTGTTTGATCCGGGCAGAGGAACCAAACCCTGTAACCCAAAAGTATTACCCATGTAAACCATAAAAATATTAATATAAACGAGGGTTCTTAGCAAAAATTCTCAAGGTGTCGAACTAATAATGCTTCATACCTTGTCAACTTTGATTCCAGGAACAATTTTCTCCTCGCGCAAGCAGTCCACGAACTTCTTTCCATCAGTAGTTGATTGATAGAGCGTTTCCTCAAATAGAATAGCACCGGAGATGTATTCACCGAGTCCGGGAGTGGTCAAGAGCAGTTGCCTATAGGCTTGTCTGTTTGCCTCCGTGTTGTCCAATCCTATGGATGCCAATCTCTTGCCACATGTGGCATTCGACTCGTCTATAGCCAGAATGCCACGTCCAGGAGACGCAATAGATTTCTGCACAAACATAAAAGAAAACTTGCAAACATGACACGGTTGAATCCTTACAAAAGGTCATCCATATATTGGACAAAAAAATAATTCTCATATCACAAAATATAGCTCCAAGTCGTTCAATGAATCAAATTTATAATGCATTTAAATTAACTATTAACATTAGGATGAAAAACAAATGAAAATAGACAACCTACAAAAATCAACTCAATATACGATTAATTAATATACCTATTGATATGTAAATATGAGGCTCGGAATCTCAACCGGCAATCAAATCAACAATATAATGCATGGAAGAGGAGCGACAAATACTAAAATCTGTATATTTGAACCTAAAAGCTTATGAATTTAGGGTGAACTAGAAGAGGACTTTCGCAATTTAACAAAACTACATCACATAAAAATCAATCAACCAAAAAAGAGATCGTTGAATCAGAGTTTCAAAGTCCCAATCGGCGATCAAATCAACAACACAGTGCAATTGCTTATCAAATCAGTGAACAAATAAATAAACAATACAGTGCAATCCAAAGCACCGATTCATATCAAGAAATCAAAACGGATTTCAAGGTTAAAAGCTAAAGTAAAAGGTTAGGAACTCACGGCTGTTTTGACTAATTCGTCCGTATAAGCGCCGGCGCGGATCGGGGAGGCGGCGACGCGGCGAGCGGACGATCCGCGGCGCTGAGAGAAGGACTGCTGTCCGATCCACAACGAAGAAGGTGAGTTAAGCTTCACTAAGTTCGCGCACGCCATTAGAGAAGACGAACAAGAAGAAGAAGAAGAAATTGCAGAAGAGAGAGGCGAGAGAGAAGAGCGAATATGAAAGTTTTTTTTTCTTTTTTTTTTTTTGGTGGAAGGAAAGGGAATATGAAGTGAAAACTTTTTTGTGCTTTGGTTGAACGGTTGACCAATTTTGGTAAATTTATAGGCAGAACAGAATCGAGTTTCTCGAGGACTCCGCTGTTGGACACTGGACACAACCTAACACGCGGAAAACCAAACACAGTCCTTTTAAATGACCATTTTATCCTCACCGTGTCTATGAGATGAGTTTTAACTTTTAAGTAATTATCGTGTAATTATTTTGATTTAAAAAAATAATAATATTTATGAATTAGGTTATCCGAAAAAAAGGTAATTATGTATTAAATTCTAGGGGCACGAAGTCGCTTGCATATCTTGTTATTTTATTAAAAAAATTAATAAAACATATTATTTTTGTATATCTTATTTAAAGAATTAGAAATTGATACGGATACTATCACATCACTAATTTACTAGATACCTATCTAAAACTTCATAAGTGAAAATAATGATAACTAATTAGGATATATATATATTTTTTGTTTTTTTTGCTGGAACTAATTAGGATGACGTAACAACAAATCGAATAGTCCTTATGGTATGAGAAGGGGATTGTAATTGTTGTCCTACAACTGAAATATTTCATTTTTGTATTGTTAAACTGTATGGATAAAAGAGAAAAAAATTCAAAAAGTGCCCCTAAATTTTAGATTTGTGTTATATTTTTATGATCTAAAAAGTATATATATGTTTTTAAACTATTCTAAAATTATCTCGATAAAAGAAGTTTAAAAGTATCATTGCTTTCATTACATGATTCTATAAATAATTAGTAAACTTTCTGGATTGTCTACGAGTTGGAACCATATTGGGACTTTTCTTTTTTTTTTTTTTTTAAAGAAACTATATTGGGAATTTTTGTCTTTCTATCGTAGAATCTTAAACCGATAGTGCATGTTTTTTATTTGCTTAAAATAACATCAAAACAAAAAAATATATATACACATAACAAATAACTTCTTATGCATATTTGAAAGTTAAAAAATAAAGTCCTATTAATGGTATAACTTTTCAAATCATATAATAGAAATCTCCTTTCTTTTTTTTTTTTCTCTCTTAGTAAAAAGTAATCTCCTTCCTTCCGGGTATTTTTAACTTCGGTTTAATGGTATACAAGTTTTACAACATCAGTTTGCAACCATTGCCATAGTTTTGGCTTGAAACGCATTGACCCATGTTACAAACTTGAAAATTTTATATTACATAAACTCAGGCATCGTTCAGTTCGTGAATTCGAGTTTTCAATTCGAACTGAGATGTGATTTTATGTGAGAACCTTTCATTATAGTAAACAAAGTTATATGTGACTTTTTATAAAAACTTTTAACTGTAACAAAACTAAAATTAAAAATTATAATTAATGAAATGAACTAGGCTTTAAATAATGAAACAAATTTATGGCTAGATTCACGAAAGTACTTTATGGAGCGCTTCTATCCAACTTAGTTTGAGTTGAGCTATTTAAGTGATCTTACAATATTCAAAAATTGATACTACAAATTATTTACAATGGGATCACACTAGAACTTATAAATTTTAAATTGACATTTTCGTTTCATATTTTTTTTATTCTCACTATGTCAATTTATGTTACAGATGGCCTCCCACTGTTACTACATATTGCTAAGTAAAAGGTCACACTAATTTACTATTATGCAACATTTTCATTTTCTTTCACGTTTTTATATTTTCTTAACGATATAAATTATTTTTTATTCAATCAAATTTACATTTCTACACACTTTCATTTTTTTTTTTTTTTTTTTTGATAAACAGACACATTGCCTGCACATGCGCCATGACCTTGACAACCTCTGCTTCCTTCCCTCTCTGATCAATAGTTGGCAACCAAAAATTTCCTCTGCAATGTACTGTGCCTAAGTAATACATGATTTGTTTTTATCTCTCAGTAAATTCTAACTGTCGGACTGAAACGACAAAAAGTGCCTCTCGAACCAAAGACTCAACCGTCTTGCTAATAATATTAAAACATAACAAAAAATTTATGTTTTACCAATAACAAAACATTAAAATCATGATGATAATTACTATGTAATTGTGTAGCATAAAACGTAACAATCGTTATAATCATTACTAATAATTATGCTATTTTTAAGGTACTTCAAAAAACTTGTTATATTTTAATTTCACGCTTGTAAATGTGCCGTATAGTGTTATTTTTACTTATTTATTTGGTTTTTGTAACGAGTTCTAAATTATAAAGCGAATAATCTCTAAGAGTCTATTTAGTTAATTGATTCGAGTATTTAACTCGACTTAAAATGTGATTTTATATGATAATTTTTTATTATAATAAAAAAATTAAATGTGACTATTTTTTAAAAACTTTTTATTATAATAAAATTTGAATCCTAAATTCTAATAAATAAAATAAATGGGACTTAAGTTTTCACAACTACAGTACATTTGAGCACACTTTCTTTCAAATTAAAAGTCTACAGTGACGACTGAATGACTATCCATTCCTTTTTATTTTTCACTTTATCTAGTCAAGTTTGCATATCTATAGTTAGAGATACAAATGCTATATATGTTCAACCCAAATTATAATTTTAATTGGCATACTTATATATATTTTTATAATGAGAAACAATTAGAATATATATATATATATTGAGATATTATTAATCATATTTGATTATAATGGTGTGAGATAAAACTTTTTTAAAAAAGTAAATGATAAACATGCAAGATAAAACTAGTTTTTTTTTTTTTTAAGTGAATTCAAGAGAATGTAATCACGGCATAACTTTTAAAATAGTAAATAAATTAAATAAAACTTTTTGCATAAAAAATAAGGAGATTTTTTAATATAATTAAAAAAAATAAACTAGCGATAAAAGGAGAAGTCCGTACGTGGCTGTTTTAGTAAATGTGCAATTGTGCAGTGTGACGAGTGTTGCATACGTGGGGTTGTTGGTGTCAAGCAATGGTTCATCAACCGTCACTCTCAACCTTTTAGTCCTGGTGTAACTTTTAAATTTAAAAAAGAAAAAAAAAAAAAAAACTCATTGTGATTCACTCCTTTTTGGACTTTTGCAACATCGCCGCACTCACAAGGCTTCTCCCACGTTTGAAAAAAAATAATAAAAAGGTCACTTCTCAATTTCCACGGTTTTATGGGAAAATATTTTATTTTTCTGAAAAACTAAAAAGCCTGTTTGGAGTGTTTTAAAATAATTTTATTTTGGATATGAAAATAAATGGAGAATATATTAGACACGGTGAAATTGCATTTTAATAAGTAATAATTAATTAACAATTAATTAGTATATAGTAAATATAATAGGTTAATTCCTCTTACGGTGGTTCCTGATTTTTACCTTTAATCTCAATTTGATCCATGATTTTTACAACATTCCGCATTTAGTTCTTAAAATTTTACTCTGTTTCAGTTTTAATCATTCTATTACCTAAGTGTTAAATATTTAACAAAATATGTATAAATTATATACTAAAATTAAAAATATCTAAAATTTAGAGATTGTTTATGAAAATCAACTTTCTTTTTTTGTATTATTTTAGTCTTAAACTTTAAATGTTTTCAATTTTTGTCCTTAATTCTCACATATTTCGTTAACACTTAGATAACAAAGAACTGCAACTAAAACTAAGTAAAACTTCAGGACCAACTTTTGGATGTTTTAAAAGTCAATCATTGTGAAATTGAGGATAAACTTCAGGGACTATTTGTGAGATCAATTCAAATATAATCAGTGTATTAAAAAAATTATTGCATAAATTGCTAAGAATTAGTATTTTTAATTTATGATGAATAATAATTAACTTCTTAATTACTAATTAGTTGATTGCTAATTTCTTAATTAATAATTTGTTATAAAGACAAATTCAATTATAATTATAGGTCTGTTTAGTAGAAGGGTTATAGGAAATGGATTGAGGTTGAGGAAAATGTGAGGAAGGATTGAGCATCTCTTTGTTAAGAGGGATTAAATTTGAATAAAAGGAAGAATAAAGGTGGGGGATTGGCAATCTGCCTTTTACAATCCCCTATAACTAGACTGATTGACAGGGAAGAACTCTTTAACACAATCATTGAATTATGCGGTGGTTTTATTCACATACATTTTATTACTCTTTATACGCTCTTTTATCTTAAATTTTCTTATGACAAAAAAAACCCATCAAATTATAAACTATTGTTATTTTAAAATTTATAAAAAAAAACCTATAATTTTCACCTTTCAATGACTATTTCAAAACGTTGCATTAATATAGTGTTAATTTTTCTTTACTATTGGTTGTATGACGATTTTTATTTTGTCTTTTTTTTTTCATTTCATGTTTGTATTTTTTACTGTTTTTTTTTTTGTAAAGACTAATCATTTAATTTTGTTTTTTATTTCATTTTTATAAAGTTTGATTGATTTTTTTTTCCGTTTCATCTTTTTTTTTTGTTATGATAAAAGGCTTCACACTCAAATCTTCAAGAAAAAAGAACAAAAAAAAATATGAAGGGATAGAGAAATAATACTATTTAAACAACAAACTAAAAATAAAATGGTGAGTGTGAAAAGAAAATTGAAGTGGACAATAATTAATTTAAGGGCAATTTTGGAATGATAAGAGTGTGTAAAAAGTAAATTTAGTTCTTTTAAAATTATTTGAGGTGTATATTTAAAAAGGAGTGTAGAAAAAAAAAGATGTGAATAGAACTAGGGCTGTAAGAAATCACCCCGAACCCGACGAACCCGGCCGAGCCGAGCCGACCCTACCCGAAAATCACGGGTTTCTAATTTTTTATTTAATTTTCGGTTTGAATTATACCTAACCCGCACTGCGCGGGTAGGGGCGCGGGGTGGGGTTACATGAACCCGAGGTAACCCTACCCGGCTGAACATGTTCAAAGTAGGTAAAACAATGTTCAACACTTCAAATTCTTACTTTCATAAGTTTATGGACTTTATGCTTTTAAACTGTTAACTTATTTATGTTTTGGATTCACGATTTGTGTAAAAAATACTTGTATGCCATAGTTGTTGAATTAGGACATTCTTTATTTATATTGGAAGTGTTTGATTTCAAAGTGAGTGTTTTAATTGTTCACCTTGCATTTAGACCCCTTATTGAAGGAAAAACATGTTCTGTTTGATAATGATTTCTTATGTAACAAGCACATATTAATTGACTAAAAAGTGATCATGTGGTCCTTGAGATCACTCTTGCTTTATGCATATTGTGATATGAGTTATTAGTCTTTATATTTTATTATGCCGCAATTTTGTTGTGTAATTATTTACTACAATAGTATTTGCATATATCATTTATTGCTCATTTACTACAATATTATTTTATCATTTATTTGCATATAAGAGCCTCTTAGATTAAAATTGATGAAGTCATAGATTAAAATTGGTTTTCACCAACCCGAGTAACCCGACCCTACCCGAGGTCACCCGAAAGGTTGCGGGTTTGTAGACTTAAGAGAGTGTCGCGACCCAAAATTTTCTCAACCCGCACTAATCGAGTAGGCTCAATTTTTCGGCTCAACCCTACCCTACCCGGCCGATTTACACCCCTAAATAGAACCACCTATTATAATATTACACCCATATCTTTTTTAACTTTAGATTTTAGTTTCTCTCATTTTTTATTATTAATAATCGCTCCGGTGTAACAACCTTTATTTGTTTTGTTTATACAAACTTAAAGCAGTAATATTTAAAATTTCTACTAGTTTATACCCGCCTATGCTTAAAAAAACGTTTTGATATATATATATATAATTAAAATATGAATTTACAAGTTATCATCTATGTGTTATATTGTTTTAAGGATGATGCTAAAATAAAGCATAAGATGACAGTAAACGACATTATAGTTAATCAATTACGTGACTTAGCCTTATTAGGAGTCAAGTTAGACGTTAGATTAAATATACACAGATTAAACTATAAAAGACTACTCGGTAAAATTAAAGAAAAAAAAAAGAGAATTAGAAAAAATAAAACATACAAAATTAAAAAACAAAATTAAAAAAATAAAAATAGAAAAAGTAAGAAAACAAAAAATGGGGAAGAGGCTGTCACATGGCGGTCTAGAAAGTGTTATGAAAGAGTACCGTAAAAAAATGTATAAAAATAAAATTTGATGTGACAGAAATATACATAAAACGAATTAAGTAGAGATGCACAAGTCAAGCCCCATCGATTCAGCCACAAGAGTACAGTTGTGGAATAGTCTTTCAGACATTTGAATGAAATTATTTTAACCATTGACAAAAAAATATGTAGAAATGCATGCATGCAAAAAAAAATCACTCTGACAGGAATAAAGCGAAGAAAAATATATTTTAAAAAATACATATAAATAGTTAAATTGCATAAAAAAAACATTAACGAAATAAAAAAGAAAACAAAACAAAACATTCAAAAAGAAAAGAAAGATAAAAGAAAAAGTGAAAAGAGTGAGAGAGAATGAGGGGACTACCACGTGGCAGATGAAAAGATTGACTTTTAGAACTTGTTTAGTTCGTTGATTCGAGTTTTTAATTTAAGTCGAAATGTGACTTTATGTGAAAGTTTTTTACTGTAGTAAAAAGTTAGATGTGCCTGTTTTTTAGAGTTTTTTACTGTAACAAAACTCGAATCGGTGAAATAAACGATGACTTATATATTCTTAGATTAGATCATACTCAACAACTTGTAAAAACTTTTAAAATTTATCTTTTTCTTAACATTCTCCCTCTTTTCTATTCTATCTATCATTCACTTCAATCTCCCATACTACACACCCTGGGTATGTTTAGTAGAATGGAGAGATGGAGAGAGGGAAAGGGGTGGAGGGGGAGAGATGGAGGGAGGAAGAGGGGTGGAGAGAGAGAGATTGAAGGAGAGTCTTAATCTCTTGTTTAATTAGAGAGAGAAAGATGAGAGCTAGAGAGAAACTCTCTTTTTGGGCCCACCATTTTGCATAATTCCTCTAATAAAATGATCCATATAACTTATCCATTAAAGATTATAAAAAACTATTTTATTCTTAAAAAGTTGAGTATGAAATTCATAAAAATGACAAAAAAGTAATTAAACAAACATTTATTTATTCATCATTTTAACTTTCTCTCTCTTACCGATCAATGTAAAAGATTACTATAATCATCTTAATTTCTTACATTTTTCATCCCTCCTCTTCTCCATCCGACGATGTCTGAGAGAGAGGAGATTGAATGGTTGAGGCTGCGGTGGTTATGCTAAGAGAGGGTAGAGAGAGAATTTCCTCAACTTGTCTATTTTCTCATATACTTATTCCCCACTGACAAAATTACCCTTCATTGGTGCTCACCTCACATGCAAAGCGCACGCCAAAATTCTGTTCATTATTCCTTTTTTTGCTCATGTTGTCCGTTATTTCCTTTGTTATTAACGGAGGGGGTACTTTGAAACATTGTTAAAAGTTTGACAACCAAAAGTGGTAACTCCGGAATACGAAGGACGAAAGTGAAAAAAGTGCAAAATACAGGGACCGGGAATGAATTATGTCAGACAAATAAAAAGCTGAAATCCAACTCAGCAGTGGCACCAGGAGTAAATTTCGCGACAAACAAGGGCCAAGATCGAGACAGGAGAGTCTTTCTCGACGTGGTTTTTGCTTCATGGCTAAGTTGGCAACCTATAAATAAGGACCTTCCCAAAACTAGAACGTACTTGGAAGTTTTTTCCGCTTCCACTAGGGCAGAGAGACCAGACTCCTCTCTCTCTCTAGAAACTTCTAGACGTTGCTCCTTCGATTTTCTCGAGAAAATTTTTTCTATGAAGTGAGAGAAACATGGGGGTCTCCTTCAAGGTTGCGAGAATGGGGACGAGGTACAGGCCGAAGTCGCTTGTGATCGAGGATAACAATGGCGACGATAATGTTTTGTTCGAGTCTCATCAGAGAGCCAATGAGGTATGAATTTTTGATTTTTTTGATTAGCCCTATGTTTGTATTGCTTTATTTCGTAGTGTTTTGATCAGTGCCTTTTTGGTTTGTCAAGCTTTTTGCCTTTGGATTTCAATGGTGTTTTGGTGATTCCAGGCTTTTTAGGGCTTGTTTGGTAACATTTTTATTTTGTGTTATTATTTATAAAGTGAAATAAAAGCTGAAAACCTTTTGAAATGGTTGCTATGAGAATCGTCATATTTTTTGTCTCATTTTTTGAAAAAAAAAAATGTTACCAAGCAAGGGAATTCGAAATTTCATTATCGAATTGAGAGGTATATGGTAATATTTTGGGGATTTTGTTTGTATGTTCTTTTTCAATTCTGATTACAGTTTTTGATTTCTTAGGTTACAAGTATGGGTTTACTTATTTGGGGCTAGCTTTATGGAATTGTTTAATCTTTGACTTGGGTTGAAAATTAGTGCGTAGAGTGTCTAATTTACGTTGCTTTGTTAATATTATCCTGTTTTCTATTGCGATTGAGCACGTGGAAGTGCCATTTCCCAATTATTCTCGAATCCGGCAAAGTTTTAAAAACGTCTGTTTTTTTTAGGTAATATCTTCCATCTTCGGTGGTCCCCTCACTTGCGGTCTCAATTGGCTCTGATTTTTCTATGAATTTCTTTGTGGTGGATTTTCATGACCTTAATTGAAGAATTGTCTTTAGCATATGTGATGGGATTATTTTATGAAAGGGAATCCTTAGTAAAAAACCGCTAAGACAGGAAAAATTAAGCCTGGAGTTTGTTGAGTTGTTGCTGTTCAGTCCTTGTTATTTATGATTACAGACTAGAAACTGTAACTATTGTACTTACGAAGTCTTGGTTTGTTCATATTGAGTGTTAAATCTCAATTGCAAGTGCAAGTGTCTGTGGGTCCAAGAGACCAAGACGTGACACGTTTTGTATCTCCTTGAGGTGAAATGGGCTTTTAACTTTTTTGCTTTTGAGAAACTGTAACGATTAAAACCGCCCAATAATTAAGGTTCGAAAAATTTTATGCTATAATTCAAGCAATCTAAAATTTAGTATAGAGTTTAGATTTAATGAAAAACTCTGATTCTGACCAAAAAAAAAAAAAAAACTATTACGGATTATGATTTTCTAAAATGCTGAAGTGAAGATGACACATAGGAGGGTGAAAAAGATGTATTGGTTTTTTTTTCTTTTTTTTTTCTTTTTGGTTGCATAAATTGAAAAAGAGGTTCTTTTGTTCTCTCTTATAAGGCCGAGTCATTTTGGTCGTTAGTATGGGACTATGGACTATGGATCAAAAGGCCATATAAACTAGGCGCATTTACCCACTGCAACCCAGCACGGCACGTAGTAGATGATAAAACCATAATATTTAATTCGTTAATTTCCACCATATCTGAAAGTGCTTCTACTTTCAATACGATAAAGTGTTGTATGTAGGCTTTTTACTTTTAACTTTTACATATAGTTTAGTAGGTTCAGTCTTTTGATTCCATTTTTCTTATTTTTGTGTGTACTATGGAGACACACTGAACAAATTTGTAACCTGAAATATATTTGGTGCGTGCTTTATATGCTACTTGAGCGGATTTCAAAGATCAAGCTGTTTGGCGTAGGGAAATTTTGCTGAGATTGGTGAACAGGTTTCTGATCTTCCAAATGTTTCGGTCAAACCTCGACGGCAGCACTTAACTTCAGATGGTAATCAATGACAATGTTATTATTGAACTGAATAATGTGCTGAGAAGCTACTCATGTACAATGTGCTCTTTGCAGACATTGAGGTGTCCTTTTCATTGAATCTCTTTCCAAATGGCTTTTCTATTGGAAAAGTGTCTGAGGTTAGCTACTGTAGAGCAGAATAATCTACGTACTGTTTTCATTTTTCCCTAATTTACTCATTTTTACTGATTATTGGATTTTTGCTTGATGATGTTGCAGTTATTCAATAATATACCAGAGCAACTGTATCCATATGATAGGGAATCGGAGACACTCATCTCTGTAAGCCTGTTTACGTTTTCTAAGCATGATTTGTGCTGATATTTTGTTGGTTTCGGTTTGAGATTATTTGTCAGGAACTTATCTTTTCATAGATCTATTAAATGAAAAAAAAAAAAAGCATATTTTGAAGCTTTTAGGTCCAACATTTCTTCCAGCTGGTTTCTTATCAACTAGCCTTGTGAGTTAGATGCACATGAAACAACAAAGTATGAGGAACAAACAAGGGAAGATGGAAGGTCTACTTCCTTGCTCAATTACATATATTATCTTAAAAAGAAAAAAAGAGTCCCCCCACCGCCCGCAGAATGGAGTGAAAAGATACCCTTATCCTGAGGGCATTGGCAATGCTTGTCATGTTGAGAATAAATTTCTTTAAAAGATTAACCTTTGGTAAAAGATGAGTACGTTTAAACTAGTTATTATTGAAGGGGGAGAATAGTGTCTCATTGTTGCTAAAACTCATCATCAGTGAGGGGGGTTTTCATTTCTTTTAATACTGCAAGGACATGAATGAAGTGCAACTTTTGAAGCACTAGTTCTTAGTTTTTGTTGACTCAATGTGTTGCTTAGGCTACAAGCTACACTCTCAATGAGATGCCTACAATAAATGTGGCCTTGTTACTAATATGGAAACCTGTATAAGGGTTACTGATTTTTTTTTTTAACGACTACAAGACAAAGCTATGTATATGTTGTGCTTATTTAAATAATTGCTTATGTGTATGTCACGGTTATTTAAATATTGACTCTGTACTTAAAAGTAAGTTGCAGGTTTTATAATTATTTTTCTGTTCTATTTTTCTTTCCTGGCTTTTTATTTGCCTTAGGCAATTGAATACGGTTGGTTACCTGGAGATACACTGGACAATTTACCCTTCAAATATGTTAATGGATCCATTCTATGTCAGGTGAGGTACTCAGCGGTATTTCTATGGTAGTTTTGCATTCTAGGAGACTATGATACATATCTCTGTTATGTTCCCATATATGTATGAGTAATTTTATATTATTGAAATAATAATAATTATTCGTGCCGGTGCCGGTGCCGGTGCTTGTGCCGTTGTTGGTGGTGTTTTATTTGAGGAGAATTTTGTTTGTTTGTTTTTTTGCGGTGGTGGTGTTTTATTTGAGGAGAATTTTGTTTGTTTGTTTTTTTGTGGTTGGAGAATGAAATCGGACGAGTAAAATCGTCTATGGATATCAACTTTACTAAATATTCATCCTTTAGACAAGTATTTACATATGTTCACCTGTTTACAAAGTTTGAACACAATGTTATAATAGCGAAAGGTGGTTTCATCAAATATACACACAGGCTTTCCTATAAATAGTATACAAATATTCAGAAACGGTTTTCTTTAATGTGATTCATATATCTATGAGATTTTGGATAATTACCTTATTCACCTTGGCTAGCTATTTACACCAACCAATAAAGATGTTTTCCTTGCAGATTCGAGATTATCGTAATTGTTTGTTCCATGAAGGAGGTATCCGTTCTTCTCAAAACAATCCTATTGTTCATAGAGTGATCCTACAGATGTGTATGGAAAATGTTGTCAAGGATATTATGTCAATATCAGATGATTCTTGGACCTACAAGAATCTCTTGGTCAGTTAGCTTAGATTGTGAGCAATTTGAATGATCCTCAGCTTTCATCTCTATAATAGAGCAATCTCATATCATTTCCTTGTTCAGGACTTTGAATCCCACGTTCTCAAGGCTTTGCAACCTGATCTTTTTCTGAATCCATTGCCATTTCCGTACAAACATTGTAGAGAACCCCTAGCTAAGAAGGTACGACTGTTGTGTTGCATTTTTTTGTCCTTTTAGAAGTTCTGGATGGTACGAAACATACTATAACTGTCCACACAATGGAATCATGTCTAGATCATTTGTGAATGTTGGCTTTAAGAGAACATTACGGCTTTTGATTGACACCATCTGATTTTGCTTCTCTTCTCTGGTCTTACAACAACAAATTTTGTACTGGTTTCTTTATTAGTGTCATGGCTTGCTGTATTTATCTTATTAAAGCCTTTTTTTTTTGGTTTTTGCTTAATTCAGAATCGCTCACAGATTCCACTTTCCAAGTTTAGAGATTATTGTATTAGCTTTAGCTTGCATTCACTTTTTTACTCCATTTTTTTTTCTTCTTGGTTAAAATTTGAGATCTTTGATAGGTCAACTTGGAAATTGCATGGAGCTGGAAAAGGAGAGAGCAGCATAATGCACGAGCTTCCAATCAGGTCTTCAGCTACTCATCTCATGTAACTGAAGTGCCAGACAATTCTGCTCGACAGAATCCCAACTTTCAAACCAGTCTTGTGCATCAGGACAGAGGAGTTATGTGGGCTAAGGAAAATATTCCAACTTCAGTTCTGATTCAAGAGAGCGACCTTCTACAAGAGACGAACTCGGATTCCTATTTGTTGACATCACAGCCAAGCTATCAGTATCAAGAGAATAGAGACCTGTCTGCTTTGCAAGAGCTGCCCACACCCAATGTTTTTGCGTTTGAAAGAAGTTCAAGTAAGAGCACTTCTGAGCTGACACCCAGTTTGTCAAATCGCGGTGTCAAGGGAAGATGTCGAAAACAAGCAATTCAAAGCTCTAAGAAACAAAAGAAACAGACTGTGCACTGTTCTTTCCAGCAGTTGCCTGAAAAAACAATTGAAATCAGTGCTCCACTTCAGCTACAGTGGAAGGATACTTCGTCGCACCAGCATGTTGAAGCAGGAAGAGATCTTCAGGAAATATTTCAGGGCAAAGCTTGTCACTCGCAATTCATTAAAAATGGTCAGCATGCAAATCATGAAGATACCCCAAGAAATTCACAGGCTGGATCAGCTACTTCTACTGTAAAGCTTGAGCCTGCTGAAGCTTGTTACCCCAGTCCGGAATTGTGGAGGATAAAGGATAACTGCGTTGGTAAGGACAAGAGAATTAGACAATCTGATGGCTTACAATCACAAAACAAACAATCATCACATTTGATAAAGACCAACAACCCTCTTTTGGATACCTCGCGGAATGCTACCAGTAAAAGGAAAAGTTTGGAGAATCCTCAGTTAACGTATGATGGAGGTGCCCTGGCAAGTTCTCAAAACGTTGATTCTCTGCAAGCAGAGGCATCAGCTCCTTCTAGGTGGAAAACAAATCCTCCCAAGGGCTTCAGTGGAAATGTAGTTGATTCAAGTGTTAACATGAGTAATGCTAACATGGCCGATGCAAAGAGTCTTTTAGAGGGGAATCATCTTGTATCCCAGTCTTTAGAAATTAAGAGTGATCCTGTCTTGGAAAGGTTACGAAAGATAGGAGGAGTGACTCAGAGGTACTCTTAACATAAAAAATTACTGGCGTCTTTTTGTTACCTTGCTGGTTGTAATGTGTGAATTCTCTTTTTAATGTATTCAGGTACGAATTGAGCAAGAAGCGCAAACTGGATCAGAATTTGGAGAGGAAACCATTTTCTGATGCAATTCCAATGATTGCATTCCACCTCTCAAATTGTGAGGATGGTATAAGGTCAGAAGAGACGGCAAAGGATAAAGTTTCTTTGTCCAAGCACTCCATGGGTAGAGATAATGTGTCTAATTCTAGAACATTGTTGTTTATACGTAATTCGTCTCCATGCTACCAAGGTCTGGGTTTGATTCATTCATCTTTCTTCTAATGTGTTCGTGTGTATTGTTGTATGCTACCTTTCTGCACCTGACAGTAGTTCTATTCTATCAGGAGATGATAGAGTGGATCAGGTGAGATTTGTCCTAAAACAGAAACTTAACAAGGACACAGTGGAAGCAAATATTGTGTATGGATGTGAAGATGAGACTAATTCCATTGTGTTCAACATCTTGCCAGCCTTTCCTAATGTTGTAAGTTGTCATTAGATATTAGTTACAAGTTTGTCCCTCATCCCTTTCTTAGCTCATGCAATATCTATATATATATATATATTATGATGGCATAATAATTACTTGACAAGTTGACCCTTTTGCTTTTAGTTTATAGTTGTCTGGAAAAACATTATTTTCTGTGAACATGTTGACAAAGTGGCTGGGAATTTTATCATTTGTTTACCCTGTGCTCAAAAGCTGCGTTACTTTCTGTTTGTATTGGTGCTGGTGCAGCTTGTAATTAATGTGTGTTGTAAAAGAACAAGGAGGAAGGCATTTACATCTTCGAATCCTGGATGCTTTATATAGAAGACATCATCCTGTTATTGTTCTGCATGAATAACCTTTTCTCGTAAAATTTAACTTATATTCTGTTGGCACCTTTTAGTGCAGCGTGTGGTTTATTTATTCTGACATTTGTGCATGTTCTTTTTTGACAGCAAACTGCGGACCTTTTTGCTTCCCAGTTCACTTCCGTGGTAGGTCCATTGAATGTGGGATTTCTTGTGAAATAGTTTTTGGTTTTTGATTTTGGACCATTTTTCTAATTTTTTCCCTTTCTTTCTATAAGATGGCTCGTGAAGGATATGACCTATACAGTGATATAGTAGGGCCTATGGCTGCCAACACTGGATGTAGCTCAAAAGGTCAACAGCCGAGCAATACTGTCCATCAATCAGATGTAATATTTGGGCTACCATCGTCCTCATCGAACCCAGGGTTGACACATTACATGCCCAGTCCCATGCCAGCAAACATGTCAGCTCATAACTCCTGGCAACTCCCATTGAAGAAAACTTCCCCTGCAGCACAGTTGCTCCTTCCGGGAAATATACAGTCATCATCTCTAGAGTTCACAAGTAACTGTCCACCCGACTCAAACCTTGACATCGCTTCACAATTCAGCTCCATGCCACTGCAAATGCATGAAATTATGAGAGGACGTGCCCATATACAACCGCAGGTACAACAATTAGTGGCACATCAAGAGCAAGTTCGGCTGAGGAAGGCTATGTTGGGAGGTTCTGGCACGAGTTATGGTGGATCGGGTACGCTTCAACGTGGTAATGGAGTTCAGGGCCTTGGCAATTTCTGGCTTGCTTCCTCTGATAATCTTACAGGCAACGGCATGGCTTCCAGACCTAGAGTATTAGGAGGTCGTATGCCTTCGACTGGAAATATAGGTCCAGAAAACAACCGTTGCAGCATATTGGGTATAAATGACGGTAAGCAGCTTATAGGTTCAACTTCAGACTATATGGCTGCAACTTCCTTGAAGCCGGGGACAGCGGAGGGCCAATGGAGAGGCTCCGTAAGTCGAATTCTGATCCAAAGAAGTGACCTCTTGGCGCCAATGAACAACATGCCAGAAGCGCCGGAAAAACCATGTAGCTTAAGCAGCCAGCAACAACAACTGCTACAGATGTATCAGGCTCAGCAAGAAATGAAGTGGTCACATCAATGTATGCTGCTGCAGCAACAGGATATGGGATTGTCAGTCCAGAATCGCGGATTGATCAACTTAGCTAAGCAAGTGGGCTCATCTTCAGGTCAAGTTAGCCCGCAGCGATATGCTCGATGGCTTCAAATCAACCATCAAGAACCAAACCCTGGATCAGTTGGAAGAGATGGAGAATAGGGACTTTATGGGGTCTCATGGAATAGTGGAGAGAGGCCATGGATGGACGTAAACAAAATATAAATTCTAGTGTGAAGCTTTCTGGTTTGACAAAGGGGTGAGGTAAATACTAAACTTAGGAGGTAGTGATAACACAGACCTTTTTATCTTACATTTTTTATAAGCATTTACCAAGAAGAAAAGATGAATATATATATAATTTTTTTTTTGGCTAAGCTTTAACGCCATCCTTGTTGATTAAAAAGCCAAGATTGGTGTGTAAATGTTGTGTAGTATTTTGCTACTAAGTCCATGTAAATGAGCGATGGGTTAACTTTGAGGATGCATAAAGGATGTTAGTCTCATGCATGTTCACTTATGCGTAATCGGACTGGGTAGGATTTAGAGTGGCGAATTAGGCTCATAATAAGTTGTTTACATGATTATAAGATTTGAAAACGGAGTCATTTTGAATCTTATTCATGCGTTCACTTTCTAAAATCGAAATAAATTGTTGTAAAAGTACTAGTATACTTTTAAGTAAATTTTATGTCTTTGTTTCAACAAATAAATTATGTACTTATTATATTAATAATTAATGGGATGTTTGTTTTCTGTATTCTGATTCTGAATCATGATTCATAGTTTTCTATAGTATTTTTCTTCATAAAAAATACGTAAAATGAGAATGGTTCTGAATCATGATTCTGAATTCATAAACCAAACGTCCACTAAGTATAATTAAGTGGGGTTCATTTTTCAATCTCATTCTCATTTCAGGATAAATAAATAAATAAAAAAGAACTAAACATTGGATCGATTCTCAATTCTTACTCCCATTCTCTAATATTGATAAGTAAGCATCTCATTATGGCATTGCATAATTTTTTTTGAAAAAATCATGTCAATTAACCACCAAAAGTTTAGAATAAGAATTCATATGCGTATCGTTCTTATTTTATTATTAGTCAGGTTAGGAGGAATAGAACTACGTATCAAAAATTCTCCACAATTGTAGTACTTGTAAAATGTGTCCCCAGATCTTCAAATGCAACATTCATTCTCCTGCCGCTCCCAGTCTTGCAAAGCCACCGCCTCCATCCACCCAGCCCCATGACATCCCTGTGATCGCCTATTATCGGTGCGGCCTAGAGATGCGCTTTTTTCTTTGTAGTTTTTATTTATAGCATTTATTTACTTGAGGTTTTTTTTTTTTTAAGTGTTCTTTTTTTATTTACAAATATATGTTTTCTTGAAAAAAAAATCTAAGGTGCTAAAATTATAATATCCAATTTAGTAAAAAATTTAATTATTTTTATAAGAAGATATACATTACATTATTGTTACATAACTAAGCATAAAAAATAATATTATGTCAATATGAGAACTTTTTTTTTTTTTTTTGAAGAGAATGAGAAAAGATTCATATATATAACTAGGTGTGACGATCTGTGCTTTCTTTGAATTTTTCTCTACTTTTCGAGATAATATGATCCTTAGTGATAATTGCATTCTAAATGTCTCCTTATTCCATTTAAAGAAAAGGATGATACTTATTCATCCATCCGGGTTAACTTGTGAAAAGGAAGGTCAAATTGTTTGTGCTTAATGGATGATTGTTTTTTTTTTTTTTTTCATTTTTTTGAGTATTATGTTCTTTTTATTATTATTGATTAAAAGACAATTTAGCAATCATATCGTAAGAGTAATTATGAAATTTAGTCTAAAAAGGAGCAATTGTATAATAAAATAATATTTCGGGTGATTGTGTCATGGTTGATAATTTCTGGCTGTAAAAAAGAATTTTTATGTTATTCATAAAACTAATAATTTTTTATTTTTTATTTGTAAAACTTAAGGTCAAAACTTACATTTTGTAATTCTAAAAAAGTATAATAATAAGTAAAATTAGTACAACCCAATTCACCATCACACCAAGCATAAAATAATTTTATGTATAATTCAACTAATTTAATTTAAGCAATAATTTCATTTTCTTTTATACACCAAATGCGTCTTAAAAGATAATTTATGACAATTTTTTGTTGGGCCGCATATCTTTTCTCATGGTTGGCTCAATATGGATTTTTTTAGCGTGTGGGGGGTATGTTAGGTAGGAGGGAGAGATGGAGGAAAGGAGAGTGGTAAAGAGAGATGGTAAATTCTTTGTTTGGTTAGAAGGAGATGAGGAGGGAGGGTAGATATGGAGGGAGAGAGTCACCCTCTAAGCTCACCATTTTAGATCATTCTATTGATGAAAAGATCCAATCAATTTACTTTAAATTCAAAAAAATAATTTTTTTACCCTTCAAAAGAAATTATTAACAAATAGTAAAATAGATAATATAGTAATAAAATAAATAACTATCATTTATCCTCTCAACTCCTCATCTCTCTTACCAAACAATATAAATAATTATTATAATTCTCTTATTCGTCATATTCCTCATCTTTCCAACTCTTTTACTAAACAGAACCTTAGTCTCGCCTAAATAAAATAATTACGCTTAATTGTGTTTCTCCGTAGCTTAATTGTGCTTCTCCGTATCTTCTATTTTCTATCATAGACACTCTGCCGGCCTTGGCCGCATTTTTATTTTTCGTCATAGACCAAAACTATTTAGCCAAAAACATACATGTGCACATTTATTTGTTTTGGGCGTCATTCTCTTCACAAAAAAACAAAACCCATTGCTGATTTTATAAAACAATTAATGTTAAGGTTTATTTCAATGAAGTTTTTTTTTTTTTTTTGGCATAATTATTTCAATGAACTTTCTTTTTTTATGGCTGGGAAATTATTTCAATGAAGTTGGCGTTAAGGAGAAGTTACATTAAAGAGTTGATTAGTTGTCACGTATTTTTTCCCCTTAAGAGTACGTGGTCCACATAACACACAGCGCACATAGCGCCGTTAAAATGTGCATTAACAAATGCACGTAACATTAAAAAAAAAAAAATGTACGTAAAAAAATTCAGCACAAAAAACAAAAGCAACGTAACGAAATTTCGCTCCAATACTCACACCTCACCCACGTCATTCATTCATCTTCTTACACGTGGACATTTGTCATCTTCGCACAAATACGAAAAAGAAAATAAAAGGACATTTATTTCTTATATTCGTCATAATTCTAAATCATAATTTATAATTCTTTACAATATATTTTTTTTATAAAAAATACACATAAAACAACAATAGTTATGAATCATAATTCTGAATATATAAATCAAACGTGCTCTAAAATTAACAATCATTACAAACGCCCACGTCATCTCAGCCTGCCACGTCATCGGAACATTTCTTAAATAACCGAATGTACATCCTCCACGTCATCACTCGCCCACGTCATCACTGGGTCCCACTTTCCACGTAGATCCCGCTCGATATCTATCAGTTTCTAATCAGCCAAACAAGTACCCAAACCCTAACCTGTGCTTTGCTTCTCAACGTTCTTCTTCTTCCTCCTTCCTTCTTCTGAAACCTTAATTCCGGACAATTCTTGAAGCTTCTTCTTCGCTGAGCCATGTCCGCGAACGGTTCTCTGGAGCAGAGGAAGCAGAGCAACCGATCGTCGATCGTCGGAAACGGGAACGGCGTCGTTTCCGGGAGCTTCGGACACTACGCGACGAGCAGGCTGAGGCTGAACCCTAACAAGGATCACACGCCGGAGAGCTACGACGATCTCCAGCTGGATTTCAGCCCTCTTCTTTTCAAGTCGCTCGAGCAGTACCTTCCTCCTCCAATGCTCGGCGTCTCGCGCGACTCCAAGCTCCACTACATGAGGGACATTCTGCTCCGCTACTCCCCCGAGGGCGAACGCATTCGTGTCAGTCTTGTTTTTATTTGTTATTTGTCTGTTTGGATACTGAGAAAATGAGGGAAAGAAGATAAAGAGAAACAGACGTGAAAGTCCTCGCTTTCGATTTTTTTTTTTGGTTCTCTCACGGAGACAGAGGTTTTCTTTTTTCCTTTCAATACTTGCGAGGCATTTGGTAATGAATGATTTAGTCTGCTATTATTTAGATATATTGTCCAAATTCCAATGAAGGAGTTTGACTAGCTGTTTCTTAATTGAGCAGACTTGAGAATTTCGTTTTGAATCGCTTATTCTGTAATGTTTTCTCATGTTATGCGGCTTGCTAAAAGACAATAGAGAATGTTTTGTTGATTCTAACTTTATTTTTCCTTCACTCACACACACACACATAATTATCTGCATGAGAGTTTGTGGATTAAGTAATTTTCTTTTTGTGACTAATTTCTATTCGAATAACAGGTGCAAAGGCATAGAGAATACAGGCAGAGGATCATGTCAAATTACCGGGTGTGTCGTTATGGACCTTATTGTGGTGAATGCTTGAATTGATTTTTTATTCTGCACATACACTTTTATATGTGTGTGTGTGTGTGTGTGCGTCTATATATAAAGGTTTAAATTGGATTTGTGCGAAGCATAATTGAGGTGATATTGTTGGCAATTGGGTATTGGCATTTATAGACATTGTTTGGCACTGTAATAATTTACAGTTAGACCATTATGCAATGAACTATTTCTAAGAGTTTTGAATTGCCTCTTTGGTTTGCTAGGTCCTCCAAATAGGATTTGGATTTTATAACTGGGACTATCCTTTTTTGTAGTGTATAACCATTTGCCTCCTTTTACCCTCTCTTTATAGCCTTTGCATAAGGAGCTCTATACTATGCAAGCTTCAAACTTCTTTGTACCTTCATTTCTCAAAGCAATTACTGAAAATATGGAGGAGAGCTTTAAGAGTATAACGACTGAACTCACTCCAGGAGTTTATTCCTTTGAGATGCTTCAACCGCATTTTTGTGAATTGTTGTTATCTGAGGTATTGTCTTTCTTCCTCTTTTCTTCCTTGCATTTTTGTTTCCCATTATATTAGTTTATATTATCTTATCAGGTTCTGATTGCTTAGGTCGATAATTTTGAAAGATGGGTTCATGATTCAAAGTTCAGAATCATGAGACCAAACACAATGAACAAATATGGTGCTGTCCTTGATGACTTTGGCCTGGAGACCATGCTTGATAAGTTAATGGATGACTTTGTACGACCTCTGTCTAGAGGTAATATATTGTCATTGATTAAGGTTGTTTGTGGTTATAAAAATATGGTGATATATGGCAAAGGCCTGATCTAAGGTTTATATTCTTTTTCTGGTTTGGAATTTTGTAGTTTTCTTTTGTGACGTTGGTGGATCCACATTGGACTCACATCATGGTTTTGTCGTTGAATATGGAATAGACAGGGATGTCGAGCTCGGTAGGTTCTTACTTACAACTTTCCCTAAACATTCTCTCAGTTTCTTAAATAATCGTGTTATCCAGCTCTCCTTGTCCAAGTGATAGTTCTAGTTCTGTAGTAAATCGAGATCTCTTCTTATTGTTTTATTAGTCTATACTTATACTTTAGCACGCTGTATTAAAATTGCAAGGAAACTATTATAGCTTACTAATTTGCCTATGGCTACTTGATTACAAACGAGCTTACTAATTTAACTTAGTCCTATTCTTTACATGCCCTTCTTTTACCCTTCTTCTTTATTGTTTAACTGGTAACTTCATCTTCAGCCTTTTGTTTTAAATTCTTCTGTTCAGTGAAACATTGCGTTAATCTTTCTTTTGATTTCTTAGTTGTTGAATTAGAGAGACGTTGCCAGCTAGTTGAGTTTTTTTAAGTTTGTAAGGTCGCTTGGTGTGAAATGCAAGAACATAGGATCAAATTCAAACTTCACCAAGGTGGGGTGGGATTATGGGTGAGGGAGAGGGTCACTAATTTTTGTGAAAATTCCAATGAATAAGGGTCGATGAGTTGTGATGCTTATAAAATATTAGTTTCAGACTTCAGTTTGATGGTTAGTGTAGACATGTGCAATTTTCTTCATTCTATTCATCTTTCTTTTTAGAATGTTCATTCTAGTTTCTATTTCTATATCCTGTTTGTACATCTTAAAGCTCTCATGCAAAATTTGGTTTTATAATCTTTTATGAAATCTTAGCAGCTTTATGTTTGCAGGCTTCCATGTGGATGACTCTGAAGTTACCTTGAATGTTTGTTTGGGCACAAAATTCTCTGGTGGAGAATTGTTTTTCCGAGGTGTCCGATGTGATAAGCATGTCAACTCAGAGACCCAGCTAGATGTAATTTAATCTTTAAAATCAGTTTTTCCTTTATAATTGCATTTATTGATTCACGGCCTCCTTTTTTTTTTTTTTTGTGATTAGTTTCTAGTATGGAAAGACCCGATTTTATTAAGAACAGCTAACATTTTAAAGAGGTATAATTTACTGGATGATATTCTAAAAAAATCGTGGTAAAAAAAGAATATTTTGAATTTTTCTTCAAACAATATTTTTTTTCTCTTTTTTTTTTTTTTTTAAATTAAAGGGCGTTCCTTGAGGTGTTTGATTGGATCATTTCAACTCAGAGAGCCTATCTGACGTATATTTACTTCTTAGATCAATCTTTTCAATGCACTTTTTGGAGGCCAAGTTTTCATCATTTGTGGAAGAGCTTAGAATTTTATTAGAACTCAAAATTCAAAAATATTGAATATTAAATATGTGGATGTTATTTTCCAGTTCATGAGAAATATATCAGAACTATGAAGTTAAATAAATAGCTAAAATCCTGAATTCTGGATTATGTCTTCCTCCTGCTCTGCTGAATCACATAGTGAATGGCATATTCACTTATATGATGTAGAAAAATTACTATACCCTTGGAATTTGATATTGAATATTAATTCTATGGATGCTATTGTCCTATTGCTTCCTTGGTGTATTGCTGTTAGTTTTTAATAACTTATTTGCAATTGTTACTTTCTTTTCTGTTTTGCTAATTGTGTATTTGCAGGAAATTTTGGACTATTCTCATGTTCCGGGCCGTGCGGTTCTTCATCGTGGTCGCCATCGGCACGGTGCTAGAGCCACAACATCAGGGCACCGAGTGAACTTGCTTTTATGGTGTAGAAGGTATCTTTATCTCACATTTCTTCTCTACGGAAATGTAGAATACTAGCCCTAAGATTGAACTAAGAAATTGCGACCTCTGAAGCTATAATGCCTCATATATCTCATCTCTATGTGAAGAATACTGGCAGTATTAGCTATTGGTTTATCCTTAGTTTGAATATCAGTTCATAATGGTTCTTTGAGAATGTTCAAGGTTACTGCTTCAGAGGACTGGCCTCAGTATAGAGTTACTCAGTATCTCCAAAATGAGGACAGTTTTTCGTGACCATTCTTATATTAGTTCCATCTCTAGCAACCCTACAAAATGCACAACTCCATGAATGACATTGAGGAATATAGCATATATACAGAATAAAACTTATGCTTAACAAATTAACAACTGAAAATGCCTACCATCCAAAGACCAATTTTTTTTTTTTTTTTTTGTCAGCGTACCCCCACTTTAACTTTAAACTCCTCTAAGCTTGGGAACAGAGAAGTGAATACTGAATTCTAGTAAGCGGAAGGAATAGGTTTAGAATCAATGGTAGCTAAAGAAATATTGATTTGTACATGACGATAAAATGAAAGGAAAACCAGAAAGAGCACGGGCTCAAGCAAGCATCTCCCCAAAAGATAATCTTCAAGCATCCCATCTCTAATTTAGCATGAAATATTATTGAATACCTCAAAAAATTAATTAGTGACTGGAGTTGCTATAAATACGTGATGTTTTACTTTATGCAATTTTGTCTACTGTCACGTAGTTCGGTCTTCAGAGAACTGAGGAAATATCAGAAAGATTGTTCTAACTGGTGTGGAGACTGCAAACGTCAGAAGAAAGAAAGGCAGCGTCAATCGATTAATGCAACCAAACTGGTATGTTAACCATAAATGTGAAAAGGAGAGATTAGAAAGTTTATATTGTTTAATTTGTCTCTTTTTCTTTAAAGGGGAAAAAAAAAGTTTGATAAGAGTGTTGTGTCTGATTTCTTCAGGAATTACTAAAGAGGGATGGAAAATCTACTTCTTGAGCTGATTTATACATGAGTTTTGTTTGTGGAGTTGTAAATTTGCAAGAGCCCATCCTTGAAAAGTCGACACGTGGTCTTTTCTTTTCTATTTTTTTATATCTTTTTGTTGCTTGAGGTCCAATATTGCCTTTTAGCTAGTATTCCTATGGGGGAATATATGAAGGTTGGCAGGTGTTGTATGTCTCTACCGCTGATCCATCTCATAAGTTAGCTGTACAATAAGACATATTCTCAACTAAATGCGATTCTGATTCTGTCCTGCTAATGAGCTAATCACAACTAACATAATTCATCTTTTATACCAACTATGAAGATTATTCCTTGTAGTAACACACACTAGCTTTTAGCCAGTGTAAGTCATTTTCAGAATGAGAATGTACCCATTACTGGATTTTCTGCAACATTTTTCTTGAATAAAAATGAAAAAGATGAAGACGGGCCTTGGCACCGTGGTGGGAGCGCTTGCGTTTGCACTCGGGGTCTAAGGTCTGAATCCCGGAAACGGCATCTCCTTCGGGGGGTAAGGCCGCGTACATATGGGATTGAACTTTCCCCTGAGCCTGTCATAGTACGGTACGGGAGCCTCTTTAGCACTGGGGTCCGTCTTTTTTTTAAAAAATGAAAAAGAAATCCATTGACCATTATCTATATAATATTGACCAACCACAATGGGGTGGTGGTTGGAATTGTTAGGCCTTTAGTTTGCTCATATAAGGTTTGGGGTCCGAACCACCTGGGCGCCTACATTGGAAGGTTTGGTGGAAGGCTCCAGTTTTTAATTTTTGTGAGCTCGGGAGATTTCTGGGTAAATATTAAAAAAATATTTTGAAGAAAGAATTGTAGTTTGACCATGTAGGCTATCATGTTTACATTGTGAAATTGACTCACATTTGCGAGTCTTGGGGACCATGATTGTTCCAAAGTGATCTGTGGAACTGAAGAAAGTTCTGTTGGGAAGTTGGATGACCAGCTTTTAATGAAGACTTTGCCTTTTGACCATATGCAAACATGATTCAGTAGAAAGTGGATCCAACCACTCCACTGAAAGCGAATCTATCTGTTTCCATTTTCCAAATTCTTCTTGAATCCCTGTGGTGGTTTGAGCAAGTAAGATGTATCAATTGTTTTGTTTCGGATAAGAGAAAATGAAGTTTTGGCTAAGAGAAAATGAAGTTTTGGCTAAGATCAAATGACGAGGTTCAAGGTCTTGTGGTAAATCTACACTTGACTGCCTCCGTTGATGAGGTCTAGTGATGGAATTCTCCAATCCTGAGCTCAAAAAAAAAAAAAAAAAACGCTATTATTTCCCCTCAAAGTTTGTTTGATAAATGCATTTGCGTCTCGGCCGTGTAAATTTAAAATCGTATCGTGTTATAATTGCGTGAATCTTCAACATACAAAAAATTGTGCGGATATTAACAAAATATTAAAAAAAATCTACCATTTTTCAATTTTTTCACCTTTTCTCTCTTTGGCGGCGCGAACAAAAGACGGCTGGTAAGGACGTTGACGCTGCAATGACATGCAGCGTGCCAGCCCTCATGAGGGCTTGTTAGTGCTGTGACGAGCCTTTGCCTCGTGAAGGCTCGCGCCACAGCGTTTGAGGCCCATCGAGGGCATCTTGTAGTGCCGCGACAAGGCCCTCCTTATTGGGATTCACAGTGCCATGTTGTGCTAGCATTGTGTGATCTCGCCAACACTGCAAGAAGCTCCAGCTCACCTTATCTTGTAAGTGCTAGTGTTGTTGCTAGCGCTTAGATTCGGCTAGATCCAATTTTGGCTGAGTGTTTCTAGCCAAATCTAGTGAGATCTGATCTGAAAAATTATCTAGGCAAGTCTTCCTTAGAAATATGATGCGCGTGTTTTATTTTTTTAGTGTTCTAAAAAAAGACAATTGGTACCTATGTATGCTACTGTCATGAAAGTAGGTATCGATACTAGGTGGCGCTTTTATTCCACTTTTGAAATGCCCGAGATAACAATATTGAACTATTAATGTAACTAACATTTGTAACTCAAACGTTCCAAAAGTCAGAGAAAGAAAAAAAGGAGAGAGAGAGAGAGAGAGAGAGAGAGAGAGAGAGAGAGAGAGAGAGAGAGAGAGAGAGAGAGAGAGGCATATGCTTTTGAAGTGGCTTAGGTTTTCATGTTAATGTTAATAGACGTTCTTTACTCAATGTCTCCTTTGTGTCGTATCATGTACGTATGAATTGGCATGTCTTGTGTACCTAATTTCCAAAGCATCTTCTAGACTCTGAATCCTTTGTTATGCTTGAATAGGTATTTTGTGAAATTTCTTCTTTGACTATTAGGGGTTACTTATCTATAAAGAAATATTTTTCTTATCGAACAAGATTGCCATTAATTTATTGAGAAATCTAAAACAAGTACTCTTTAAAAATACGTGTATTTTAATTTTTACTCTTTATTATTAATTAATATTTTTTTAATCAAATAATTATATTAATTAAAAAATAAGTGCTAAAAATTTAGACATATGCTTAAAGGTAAGTTTAATAATTTTATCGATTAAAATAATTATTATAAATTAACAAGCAATGTTTTGGCCCAATGAATATAATACGTTGCTTACATGTAGTCTAATCGCGGTCATTTTCCTAATTGTCATTATCATTATCATCAATCAAATTCTATCTGGACCCTTCTAAGAACCTTCATTCATTTTAAATGTGTATTATTGGTTCCTTGAGAACCACTGTGAATTTCGATGGTGACAAATAAGGATTATAATAAATACAAGATTAGAGGGGACCATTTTTCTTTCGCACTTTCTCTGGGACATTCTTATCTTTCTATATTGAGGTAACCGATGCTATTTTGGGACATTTATGTAATTTGTTAATATGAAAAAAATGAAATTTGGTAATATGTTAATATAATATTTTTAAAATCTCCCTTGATCATATCTCATGGAGACTAACTTAATATTGTATAGCTGCAAAGTTTCTAGACCCTTCAAAGGGATATAAGATTAGGAGAAAAATAAAAGGCTAGAATTATGGTTGTTGTACCTAAGAATTAGGCGACGATTTTCCTAATTATGACTTTTTTGGTTGAGAAGTTTTAATATATATCTTGTGTCCTTCATATATGTTTGTGAGTGTGTGTGAATTCATTATTCCCAATAAGACGATGGGTAAGTTGAAGAAATGAGAACATTCATCAAAGAGAATGATTAAATATATATCTTTTATTTTTTTTTACAATTTATCTTTTCGCTTTTAAAACCTATAAAGATATATATATATATATATATATTGAATTTGAAAAACTTTACAATACAAAAGACAAAGATATTCTTAAATAGGTTCGAAAAATATTTTAAACAGAAACAAATTTAGTCTCTAATTAAAGGTATCTTTGTCTTTTACCTTTTTTTTGTTCACCAAATGCGAGAGAGATGAAATTAAAAAAAAAAATTACAAAATTTAATTTTTTTCTGGTAATTATTTCAAAAGGCAAAAGGAATAAATTGTGAAACAATTAAAATTATTAGAGATATCTATGTAATTATCCCTTATGATTAATACTTGAAAAGGTGCCTTTTTAATTTAAGTATCATCCAACCAATATCATTATATAAAGACTACTAATAATTAATAAAGAGAAGTTCTTAGCAAAGTAGAAAAGCCAAGCTATATGGCAACTTACTGCTTCACTTTAGTGTCACACGCACACACACATAATCCCTCAGCAAAAGAAAATGATAACCAATATTCTTTGCTTAATTTTTCTCATCAATTTATAAAATAATAATAAGATCGTTAACCACAGGAACTCATCATTCTTTAAAGACCTTTGTCTAGTTTGGCTATAAGATGGTACCTAAGGACTCTAAGAGCCTAAATATAAATTAATGAGCCTATAGCTATATGAACTTTTTATATTTAAAATAACAGGGTCGTTTGAGTTTTGAAATGCGAAGGGTTGTGCACTGTTTAAGTACTTTATAGTTTAAACAATGCGCGCGCACACATATATCTTATAGTTCATTCAAGAATGAAACATGTACTAATTAATGAATAGTACCTAAACTTATGATACATATAAAATTTCTTCAGCCATTATTTACACATCAAATCATGGCCATCATAGCCTTATTTGGCTTTGCAACTAGTTTTAAGCATGTAAAAGTAATAATGCATAATTCAGATTAAAAAAAGGAAAAAAAAAAGTGATAATTATATAGTGCATCATAATTACCAGATACCATGCATATAAAACTCCTAGAGGCCCTAGGACAGCAGTTTTCTTTCGAAATACTATGCATATAAAACACCTAGAGGACGTAGGACAGAAGTTTCTTACGAAACTTGATTTTCTTTTTCATTTATTTTAAAATTTAGATAAGGTTTCTGGCTCTCCGTATTGCAGGTGTCCGTGTGAACACAAAACCTAGAATTTGTCTGCATGCAATTAAGGGTGGCAATTCATGTTAGTATGTCGTGTTAATTGTGTTAATTCGTATAACCCGTTTAATTAATATATTTTTAAATAAATAATTAATATAATAATAACTTATTTAACACAGTCATAGTAAGTTTAACATGTTTATTGGTCAATTTATCTTTTCTTTTAAAAAGAATAAATGAGTTTTACTTATAAATATTAAAATTTATATTATTTGTATTTAATATGTCATATAAACTTTCATATTGTATCATATATCATTAAATTATAAATGACACATATAGTTAACTGTGTTAATTTGTGTCACTTTATATTAAAAGATAAATTTTAACTCAACTTATTTATTAATCGTATCAATCTGATTATGATTCAAATCTATTTATAATAAATTTAAACTCGTTAATTTTACGTGAATTTTAAATCTTGTAGTGTTGATACCTCAATTGCCAACCGTATATGCAATTATATAGATAGCAGTTTCACGTTAACACCACATGTATAATATATGTTACACGTAGGTATATAGGCTACAGACTATATAGACTATATAGACTATAGACGATCAGGAGCTGACAACAATTATTCACAACATTTTGAATAGAGAAAAAGGCAAATGTTAAGCCAATTAGAATCCATGCAATTCTTTTGGGAAAAGAAAAAAGAGAGAAAATAAAGTGCGAAAGAGAGAGGTCTAGCCATGTCATGCAGAGCGAAACAGTAATTAAGGGCCCACCAACAAGCCCACGAAAGGGACAGAAAGGAGAGAGGTGGGTTGG